ACGAGGCTACAATGATGTACAGTACTAGAACCCCAGACCAAGGTGTTCCTCGCCCTCACTACGAGGCTACAATGATGTACAGTACTAAAAACCCCAGACCAAGGTGTTCCTCGCCCTCACTACGAGGCTACAATGATGTACAGTACTAGAACCCCAGACCAAGGTGTTCCTCGCCCTCACTACGAGGCTACAATGATGTACAGTACTAGAACCCCAGACCAGGTGTTCCTCGCCCTCACTACGAGGCTACAATGATGTACAGTACTAGAACCCCAGACCAAGGTGTTCCTCCCCCTCACTACGAGGCTACAATGATGTACAGTACTAGAACCCCAGAGCAGGTGTTCCTCGCCCTCACTACGAGGCTACAATGATGTACAGTACTAGAACCCCAGAGCAAGGTGTTCCTCGCCCTCACTACGAGGCTACAATGATGTACAGTACTAGAACCCCAGACCAAGGTGTTCCTCGCCCTCACTACGAGGCTACAATGATGTACAGTACTAGAACCCCAGACCAAGGTGTTCCTCGCCCTCACTACGAGGCTACAATGATGTACAGTACTAGAACCCCAGACCAAGGTGTTCCTCGCCCTCACTACGAGGCTACAATGATGTACAGTACTAGAACCCCAGAGCAAGGTGTTCCTCGCCCTCACTACGAGGCTACAATGATGTACAGTACTAGAACCCCAGACCAAAGGGTGTTCCTCGCCCTCACTACGAGGCTACAATGATGTACAGTACTAGAACCCCAGACCACGGTGTTCCTCGCCCTCACTACGAGGCTACAATGATGTACAGTACTAGAACCCCAGACCAAGGTGTTCCTCGCCCTCACTACGAGGCTACAATGATGTACAGTACTAGAACCCCAGACCAGGTGTTCCTCGCCCTCACTACGAGGCTACAATGATGTACAGTACTAGAACCCCAGACCACGGTGTTCCTCGCCCTCACTACGAGGCTACAATGATGTACAGTACTAGAACCCCAGACCAAGGTGTTCCTCGCCCTCACTACGAGGCTACAATGATGTACAGTATTAAACCCCAGACCAAGGTGTTCCTCGCCCTCACTGCGAGGCTACAATGATGTACAGTACTAGAACCCCAGACCAAGGTGTTCCTCGCCCTCACTACGAGGCCTACAATGATGTACAGTACTAGAACCCCAGACCACGGTGGTTTCCTCGCCCTCACTACGAGGCTACAATGATGTACAGTACTAGAACCCCAGACCAAGGTGTTCCTCGCCCTCACTACGAGGCTACAATGATGTACAGTACTAGAACCCAGACCAGGTGTTCCTCGCCCTCACTACGAGGCTACAATGATGTACAGTACTAGAACCCCAGACCAAGGTGTTCCTCGCCCTCACTACGAGGCTACAATGATGTACAGTACTAGAACCCCAGACCACGGTGTTCCTCGCCCTCACTACGAGGCTACAATGATGTACAGTACTAGAACCCCAGACCAAGGTGTTCCTCGCCCTCACTACGAGGCTACAATGATGTACAGTACTAGAACCTCAGACCAAGGTGTTCCTCGCCCTCACTACGAGGCTACAATGATGTACAGTACTAGAACCCCAGAGCAAGGTGTTCCTCGCCCTCACTACGAGGCTACAATGATGTACAGTACTAGAACCCCAGACCAAGGTGTTCCTCGCCCTCACTACGAGGCTACAATGATGTACAGTACTGAGACCCCAGAGCAAGGTGTTCCTCGCCCTCACTACGAGGCTACAATGATGTACAGTACTAGAACCCCAGACCACGGTGTTCCTCGCCCTCACTACGAGGCTACAATGATGTACAGTACTAGAACCCCAGACCACGGTGTTCCTCGCCCTCACTACGAGGCTACAATGATGTACAGTATGGGTCCCCCTCAAGGGTGGACCCATACATTATGGGATCGAAACTTTGGGGGGACAAATATATGTGTGTGTATTCAGGATCTGCTGAAGAGGGTCCCAGAAGGGGGTCATAATATACAGATTAATCAAGCTCCTGAGTTTGTTTCCATGTAGGTCATTATTGACTATATTTATTGGTATAAACCTTGGTAATAAATACCGACAAGTTGGTTTAGAAAGACACGTAAGCAAACACTATAACATATTTATTAGAAAACGTTTCGGTCCTGGGACCTTGATCACTTGTTAGAAGTGATCAAGGTCCCAGGACCGAAACGTTTTCTAATAAATATGTTAGTGTTTGCTTACGTGTCTTTCTAAACCAACTATATTTATTATTTTGTGTGTGTGGGTTAGTTTGTGCCATCTTGGTTACATTGTTGTGTATGTGGGGGAAAGTTTACATTATACCAGGATAACAGTGTTACAATAACAGTGTTAGAATAACAACTGTTAGGAAAAATCTAGATTCGGTAACTAGAAGTGTCCGGGACCCAAAACTGTTCAACAGCCTCCCATCAAGCATTAGGGGAATTGCCAATAAACCTCTGGCTGCCTTCAAGAGAGAGCTGGACAGATACCTAAAGTCAGTGCCGGATCAGCCGGGCTGTGGCTCGTACGTCGGACTGCGTGCGGCCAGCAGTAACAGCCTAGTTGATCAGGCCCTGATCCATCGGGAGGCCTGGTCGTGGACCGGGCCGCGGGGGCGTTGATCCCCGGAATAACCTCCAGGTAACCTCCAGGTAGAACCTTCAAGACAAGAGATAACACTCACTTGTTCTCTCTAGAATATTGCTGCTCGCTAACAAGCCCATTAAAGGCAGCAGAGTTATATTCGCATTGCTCATGTTAATTTAACCAAATGCCTAAATTATTGGGAATTCTGTTATTATGTCACCTAAATTATACTCTGCACTGCCGACGAGAATCACTGCTTCTAAATCTTCAGTGATATTATTCATTTTGAAAGTGGGTAACCGTGCAGACTTAAGGATGTCCAAATGAAATGCAGGTGTGTATGAAGTACAGTAATAGATTACTTAGTAAGTGTAAGGGCTCCAAGACTTTTCAACATACTCCCTTCATACACGAGAGGAATTACACACACACACATACATATATATATATATAATATATATATATATATATATATACACACACACACACACCTACACACACACACACCTACACACACACACACTACACACCTACACACACACACACACACACCTACACCACACACACACACACCTACACACCACACACACAACACACACCTACACACACACACACACACACCTACACACACACACACACCTACACACACACACACACCTACACACACACACACACACACACACACACTACACACACACACACCTACACACACACACCTACACACACAACAGCCTAGTGTAAAATCGACATGTGCCTAGGACAAAATGGTAACTAACACCTACACACACACACACACCTACACACACACACACACCTACACACACACACACACCTACACACACACACCTACACAACACACACCTACACACACACCTACACACACAACAGGCCTAGTGTCAAACCGACATGTGCCTAGGACAAAATGGTAACTAACACACAAACACGGGATGTTCCAAAGAAGGGACACAGACACAAGAGGTCACAATTGGAAGTTGAAAACGCAGATGAATCAAAGGGATGTTAGGAAGTATTTCTTCAGTCATAGAGTAGTCAGGCCGTGGAATAGCCTAGAAAGTGACGTAGTGGAGACGGGAACCATACATAGTTTCAAGGCGAGGTATGATAAAGCTCATGGAGCAGGGAGAGAGAGGACCTAGTAGCAATCAGTGAAGAGGCGGGGCCAGGAGCTATGAATCGACCCCTGCAACCACAAATAGGTGAGCGCACACACACACACACACACACACACACACACAACACACACACACACACACACATCACACACAAACCACACACACACACACACACACATACAACTAATACACATCACACACACACACACACACACCACACACACCACACACACACACACACACACACACTACACACACACCGACATCACACACACACAACCACACACCGACACACACACACACACACACACACACACACACGCGCGCGCGCGCGCTAGCTATCTTCAGGAAGGAACCTAAGTTCCTTAAGAGACATTTCGTGATTAACTAGGCAGTGGTATTCATATTGGAGTGTGAAAGAGTAGCACCTGAGTGATCAAGCCAGCACCTAGGAGGCCTGATCTTCGACCTGGCCACACCTGGTAGGCACTAGATGTCAGGACACTGGTATAGGAAGTGAAGTAAGAAAGTCAGCGGGTGTAGATATAAGTTATGGTATAGTAAGGCAGGAACGTGTACTGTTTACTACTGGGTTGGGAACAGTGCCAACAAGGCAGAGTTAGGGCAGCTGTGCTGGTGGTGACAGATGATAGATGGGCTTCTCTCCACCTACCTTTTTTCCATATTTGTTTACAACTGATTGTAAGTCTAGAGAAGAACTGGATGTAAACTGGCAGTCAAGTTGTACATTCTCCAGATGTGTAGTTTCATCTGCCTTAAATTGGGCTGTTAGTGTATGAATTTTAAGGTCTAGAAAGAATAGCTGACTTGAATAATATCACCATTGACTCGGTACCTCGTGTTTTGAAGGTTTTTATTATTTAAAGTATCATTTTGCCTCTGATCATGATATTTGAAGGTGAGATCTGACATTATCATTCCTAAGTCAGTTAATTACTTCTTCACTATGTTGAATGATTCCAGTTTGTTTTATATTCCATCCAGACCTCTTTCTTCCATGACCGGGTAACTGTATATAGTCCCCATTGAGCATCATGTCTTTATACCAGCTTGGAGGTTATACAACACCTGGGGTATGGGAGGTAATCAGGCCTCGTGCAATCCCTTGAATCAAAAGCCTTGAAGGTTATCAGAGCACTCTTTTTGAAGCTTACAAATATATACGTAGGTTTCAGCATAAATCACGCTAATATTTGCGTTCAGCTTCAGCTTAAACCATACTAATATTGCTTACGTTTGTTTCCAGCTTGAGTATGGGTCTGGCGGGCTCGGCACTCCTCTGTCACCCACTGTACGTCGGTCAGTGGATGAGGCGTCACTATGGCGGAGGCGTACAGGTGCCTACGCTGTGCCTGGGGCCTACAGGCAGACCTCTACGGAGGAGGTACGAAGACGTAGGGAGAGTCTAGCCTCAGCCTCTCCACACCACCTCTCCACCAGCTCTATCCATCATCCATCTGGTGAGTGTGCACTTAATTCACTGTATATTCACTGTGGTGTATATATGTCACTGTATATACCCAAATGTATGCATCATTGTATATACATTACGGTTCATCAGTGTGTAGATAATCAAGGCAAGTCGTAATGAACGACTGTGAATGGATTAACAGAACAATGGATCTGCGTATAGCAGGTCCAACACTGTAACCATTCACCCACGGAGCTTACAGTAGGATACCTTTGATATACCTTTGAAGAGTTTCGAGAGTTTCTCTATCTCTGAGCCCGGCCATGGGCCAGGCTCGTCTGGTGCTTGCCCGGTCAACCAGGCTGGAGGCCCGCTGCTCCACATATCCATCACAGTCTGGTTGATCTGGCACCTGGTGAAGATACTTGTCCAGTTTCGTCTTGAAGGCTTCTACACTTATTCCAGCAGTGTTTCTGACATCTTCTGGTAAGATGTTGAATAGTCTGGAACTGCGGATGTTGATACAGTGTTCTCTTATTGTCCCCACCGCACCCTGCTCCTCACTGAGTTTATTTTACACTTCTTCCCATATCTCTCACTCCAGTATGTTATGGCAGTGTGCAGATTTGGGATCAGGCCCTTGAGTAATTTCCAGGTATACATTATCATGTATCTCTCCTCCACTCCATTGAGTACATATTCAAGACTTGCAGGCGTTCCCAGTAGTTTAGGTGCTTTACTGGCTCAGTGTGAGCCGTAAACGATCTCTGTACGCATTTGTTCCAGTTCCGTTAGAACTTAGCAATATTCTAAGTGAGGGAGCACTAGTGATTTGAAGAGAGTCACCATCGGATGGTTTTATAACCATCACAACTGTGACATGGTTGCATCAGCGGCACTAACTGTGACACTACTGTGTTGTCTCACAGCCCCAGAGGCATTCATGGTACGACTGTGTTCATACCCGTCAACACTATATAGTCCAGTTTATATAAGTACAGGGCCAGGAGCTGAAACTCGACCCAAGCAAACACTGATGTTTTAGAAACAAGTAACCATCTTTCTACAAGCCTGGCTCATGGCCGGGCTCCGGGGAATAGAAAAGTCTATTCAGAAGTATATCAGTTCAACTAAACTGTGATGACGTGTGAAGGTGTGTGCTTCGTGGCAGCAACAGCTAGTGTTCAAGCAGTGAACCAGGAAGGCTGGCCTCAGGCCAGGCTGCATTGGTACAAGAACCCTCAAAACCATTAATAGGTATGTCACAGGTATTGCCCAGGTGAGTGCCAAGGTCTAGCATCTTGGCCAGTGGCACCCTCGCTACAGTCTTATCAACCTACATTGTTCTCATGCCTACATTGTTAACTCTTCTATCATTTTTTAGTGGCTTAAATCACTGGTAAGCCAGTGTTGTAAATCACTGGTAAGCCAGTGATATAAATCACTGGTAAGCCAGTGATATAAATCACTGGTAAGCCAGTGATATAAATCACTTGTAAGACAGTAATATAAATCACTGGTAAGACAGTGATATCAATCACTGCCACTATCACATCTGCGAAGAAAATAATAGGATGGATAATGAGAACATTCAAGACAAGAGATGCTAAGCCAATGATCCCTTTTAAATCACTTGTTCTCTAGGCTGGAATATTGCTGTACACTAACAGCTTTATTCAAGGCAGGTGAAATCGCAGACCTAGACAATGTACAGAGAACCTTTACTGCACATATCAGTTCCATAAAACACCTTAACTACTGGGAACGCCTGGAAGCACTTGACTTGTACTCACTGGAGCGCAGGCGAGAGAGATACATCATAATCTACACCTGGAAGATCCTGAGAGGGACTGGTCCCTAATCTGCACACAAGAATCACTCCTTACGATAGCAAAAGACTTAGCAGGCGATGCAACATACCTCCAGTGCAAAGTAGGGGCACCATTAGTACACTTAGAGAAAACATCGTAAGTGTCCGGGACCCTAGACTGTTCAACAGCCTCCCGCCAGCCATAAGGGGAATTACCAATAGACCCCTGGTTGTCTACAAGAGGGAGCTGGACAAATAACTAAAGTCATTGCCGTATCAGCCGGGCTGTAGTTCGTGCGTTGGACTACAGTAACGTCCTCGTTGATCAGGCCCTGATCCACCAGAAGGCCTGGTCATGGACCGGGCCACGGGGGCGTTGATCCCTGGAATACCCTCCAGGTAGGTAGTACCCAGCATTGGTAAGTTAAGTGGTAGTTTATATTACTGAATTGCCATTCGACAGTGTAACGTATGTACCACAGCCCGGCTCATCAGGAACTGTTTGGATGACAACACCACTTTCATCTTGACGTCAGGGAGAGTTAGTAAACAAGACAGTAATAGGTAACGTACAATTTTAAATCACTTAGCGTAGCGTAAAATTATTGATTCTGTCATAGAAGTGTAGTGGGAGTGGAATAATTTGTTCCCCTGAGTGTTCCAGAGATGAACACTTGAGGGAGTGTTCCACAGACGAACTCTTTTTTGTATTGCCTGTTGCTAAATCTTGAGAGCAGAGTGGCTGGGGTGTTTATATGAAGAGGGAGAAGGGAACAAAAGGAGGGAAGGGAGGGAGGTGGGAAGTGAGAAGGAGGGAGACAGCGATTTGACGAATGGTTATAACTCTGCCGTCGTGGGAACGGCAGGAAAGGAGGGAGGGAGGGAGGAAGGCAGGATGGGAAGGTCCTAGTCAGGAAGGCAGACAGACAAGCAGGGAGGGAGGGAGGACGGACAAGGGTGTTGCACTCAGTGTTCATGGTAGCTTGTAGGTCTCTCTCAAGGAGACGTTTGTGTAGGTTGTATTTGGAGTGTTTGTATGATTGTGGCTTGTATGTATGGTTTGTATGATTGTTGTGTTTGTATGATTGTATTTATGAATCCTGATAGTGAAGACAGGAATCCTGATAGTGAAGACAGGAATCCTGATAGTGAAGATTGGAATCCTGATAGTGAAGACAGGAATCCTGATAGTGAAGACAGGAATCCTGATAGTGAAGACAGGAATCCTGATAGTGAAGACAGGAATCCTGATAGTGAAGACAGGAATCCTGATAGTAAGGACTGTAGTGAAGACAGTAATCCTGATAGTGAAGACAGGAATCCTGATAGTGAAGACAGGTATCCTGATAGTGAAGACAGGTATCCTGATAGTGAAGACAGGTATCCTGATAGTGAAGACAGGTATCCTGATAGTGAAGACAGGTATCCTGATAGTGAAGACAGGTATCCTGATAGTGAAGACAGGTATCCTGATAGTGAAGGCTGGAATCCTGATAGTGAAGACAGGAATCTTGATAGTGAAGACTGGAATCTTGATAGTGAAGACAGGTATCCTGATAGCGAAGACTGGAATCTTGATAGTGAAGACAGGAATCTTGATAGTGAAGACAGGTATCCTGATAGTGAAGGCAGGAATCCTAATAGTGAAGACAGGAATGCTGGTAGTGAAGACTGAAATCTTGATAGTGAAGACAGGTATCCTGATAGTGAAGACTGGAATCCTGATAGTGAAGACAGGAATCCTGATAGTGAAGACAGGAATCCTGATAGTGGACAGGAATCCTGATAGTGAAGACAGGTATCCTGATAGTGAAGGCAGGAATCCTAATAGTGAAGACAGGATCCTGGATGTGAAGACAGGGAATCTGATAGTGAAGACAGGTATCCTGATAGTGAAGACAGGAATCTGATAGTGAAGACAGAATCCTGTGTGAGACGGATCCGATAGGACTGGAATCCTGATAGTGAAACGGTATCCTGATAGTGAAGACAGGATCCTGATAGTGAAGGCAGGTAATCCTGATAATGAAGACAGGTATCCTGATAGTGAAGGCAGGAATCCTGATAGTGAAGACAGGTATCCTGATAGTGAAGGCAGGAATCCTGATAGTGAAGACAGGAATCCTGATAGTGAAGACAGGAATCCTGATAGTGAAGACAGGAATCCTGATAGTGAAGACAGGTATCCTGATAGTGAAGACAGGTATCCTGATAGTGAAGACAGGTATCCTGATAGTGAAGGCTGGAATCCTGATAGTGAAGGCTGGAATCCTGATAGTGAAGACAGGAATCCTGATAGTGAAACGGATCTGATAGTGAGACAGATCCTGATAGCGAAGACTGGAATCTGTAGTGAAGACAGGAATCTTGATAGTGAAGACAGGTATCCTGATAGTGAAGGCAGGAATCCTAATAGTGAAGACAGGAATGCTGGTAGTGAAGACAGGAATCCTGATAGTGACAGGAATCCTGATAGTGAAGACAGGTATCCTGATAGTGAAGACAGGTATCCTGATAGTGAAGGCAGGAATCCTGATAGTGAAGACAGGTATCCTGATAGTGAAGGCAGGAATCCTGATAGTGAAGACAGGTATACCTGGAGTTTACCTGGAGAGAGTTCCGGGGGTCAACGCCCCCGCGGCCCGGTCTGTGACCAGGCCTCCTGATAGTGAAGACAGGAATCCTGGGGGATACTCGATACGTTGAATTTCATAAATCTTGAAGTTAAAATGCTGAGAGGAGAACACTGTTTTTTTGGGAAGTTGTATCAAGCCATCAGGAGATTAATGTTGGTGGAGTGTGTGTTGGTATGTCTGTGTCCCTCCCTGTCACCACCGCTACTGGGAACAAGGGTCGAGGCACCGCTCTTGACTCATGTTTTGGGTGTACATGTTCCCACAAGGTGTGGTGTACATGTTCCCACAAGGTGTGGTGTACATGTTCCCACAAGGTGTGGTGTACATGTTCCCACAAGGTGTGGTGTACATGTTCCCACAAGGTGTGGTGTACATGTTCCCACAAGGTGTGGTGTACATGTTCCCACAAGGTGTGGTGTACATGTTCCCACAAGGTGTGGTGTACATGTTCCACAAGGTGGGTGATGTTCCCACAAGGTGTGGTGTAAGTTCCCACAGTGTGGGACATGTTCCACAAGGTTGGTGACAT